GGGGGTATGTTTTCTTTTTTTCCCCAAGCGGCTCTTGAATTGCCTGGAACACCTCCAACTCGTGAATTTGACCCTGCGTGAGTCTCATCTTCGCTAATCGGATGTCGTACGCTCACGGGAACGCGTCGTTTCCTCGCGCGGACAGGATACGAGCGTTTCTTCCCGGCGCTGCTTTCCGCAGACCTCTGGATATCCCCCCGGAAAGCAGGGTGGGGATGGGGGGAGTTACAAAGCCAAGACAAAACCGGCAGCGCTCGCTGCTAAATCGTACCGCCGCTTCCCGGGATGAACTTTAGCGACCTGTTAAAACTGGAGGACTGTGCTTTGACTTTTGAAAAGAGGGAAAAAAGAGGGGCGGCGGGGAAAGACTGTGCCGTTGTCTCTATGTAGCGATGGGCGTGGTGGGGGGGGGGATGGGGGGGGGGGGGGGAAGTTGACACAACGCAACAATACAACTGAACTCCCAAACGTCTTGCTCGAGGCTTGGCCCCTCGAGGTGGGAGCAACTCAATCCACACTGTGATTTCCAGTGCCTCCGTTGGCCTCTCTTTGCGTGTTTTTTTTGTTTTTCTTTTTAAGAGCCTGCAAACAGGTAAATTCTAGCGGTTACAGAAAAATAATCCGTCAAGCTTTAGCGTCGCGCCTTCTCTCCGGAGCAGCAGAGAAAGCTTAACGGGCTCCGTGGTTTTAGTGCCTCAAATCGCGGCTGGGTTCAGGGGGTTCGGACTCCGAAGTCGGCTAAAGCGTCGATAAAGCCCGAGAAACGTTAAGTGAGGGCGAGCGAGCCCGAGAGCGGATTCCCGCGGTCGATCCTCGATCCCTCGGCGGCAGCTGAGCTCCGCTTAAGAGACGCCGTCCCAATCGACTGCGGATCGTTCAAACCGGCGGAGGAAGGAGCGGGTGGAAGACTTTGGCCTGCGGCACGCGGAAAGCTGGACGGAGTAACGCAGAGTCCCTTCTGCTTTTAAAATCAACGGCAGCGCACGTTCTGCTGACGCTGGAACTAGGGAGAGAACCATGACAGCAGTTTGGCTCGTTCTGTCGGAGCTGCCTGGAGTGTTTGTTCATCCAGTTCCCAGTAAAATCCCCTAGGTATATTTTATTTAAGTCCAGCTCGCACGCTTGGATTTTTTTAATTTATCCACACCTAGACAGACTGGAGCTCCTAGCGAAATCAAGCAAGGAAAAGCCCTTAAAGCCTGGTCTCTGATTCGCAGTTTCCTGATTTGTTTAAAAAATAAAAAGAGGATAAGAAATAGCTTTCCTGTATCAGGCGGGCAGTGAGGCTCGATGGACGTAAAAGCAAGCAGGACCTCGTTGCTTAGATGTTGCAATTAATTAACCATATCATTCGTAACCGTTTCGGGCCGTCCCGGCGCAGAACGAGGCTGGGCACCCCCCAAGGAATTAAGGAATGTCTTAAAGTGCACTGACTTTTTTTGCTTCTTTCCCGGAGCCCAAATGCCTGTTTCCTTACACCACCACTGATTTGCTCTTTTGTACAGAAAGTATCATTAAATAATGAGTCATTAGATTAATGAGCTCTCATCTCCTCACTGCACAATGGTGTCTTGGCTCTCGTTTGTCGGGCCCATCTGTTTCTGCTGGGAGGCTCGGCCGAAAAGGAGGCGAAGGCGCTTGTGGGTGAGGTGCCTTGGGAGGCAGCGCACTGCGAAAACTACACAGATTTTGGGGGTTGAACGGCTCGTTTTGCCAATTTGTCTAGCCTGCAGGCTGGGAAATGAGTTTAAAACTGAGCCTAGTTCAGCCTGGAATACATTGGTATGGCTTTTCAGGCAGCCGGCGCATTTTGTTCCTGGTCGGTTTTATGCAGTTTTTTTGGTTCCACGGGGCCAGATGTTGATCTGGAACAAACCGATGTCGCTTCCTCGAGCCACGCTCGGCCGCCCGGCGGAGGGTCCGATCTGGCCTGGGTATTCCGACGCCGTTCCTTCTGGTTCGCGTTTTTCTGGCGCTGCGATGATATTTGCATCCCCGCGGTTCCTAACCGAGCGCTGGGGCCGTGCTATGCGCTGTGCAAACACCCAACAAAAGCCCGGCCGGGCTGAAAAGATCTCGAGCTGGGAGGAAAACGCCGCTGTGAATTGTGAAGCCAAAGGGGAAACCAGCCGGCTGCGCGGGAGCCGGTAAGAAAAATCACGTCCCGCAAAGACGGTTGCAGAGAAAGATTGATTTATACCAACAGGAGGGCAGTGACACCGCTTGTGTTTTGGCACTGCTTGTACACAACCTGCCAAATCCACAGCGTGGCGAGCGTCCGTCGACGTCAAGGACTGCAATCCCCCCCCCCACCCCGTTTTGGAGACGCCTAGGCAATTTAGAGCACCGTCTGTAACGATTTACCCGTGTGACAACTTGTTTTTCTCGGCGTGCTGGCTCAGCACGCGCGCGCCTGTCTTGTCTCTTTGTTTCACCAGCCTCGCTGTGTTTGCTAACATGCCGCAGCTGCTGCTGGGTCAAAGAGTTTGAAGGGAAAAATGCTGGAATGGAGAGTTTGGCTCTTTTGAGAGCGCCGTTTTTCTATGGCAGCCTGTAATCCTCATTTGTGGGGGGGGTGTGACCATGGTGACAACAGGGTGGCACTTGTTTCCAAGGATTTCACCTTAGTCGGCACATCAAAGCGAAATACAGGGATTCCAGCCCCAGACTGAGGTGTTTGAGTTTGTCCCCCTCCCTCCAACTCCCACCCTTGCCTAATTAGTGCCAGAAGCAGCCGGAAAGGTGTGTCACCTCACAGGAAAGGCTCTGTTATCACAGAGAGTCACTAGGAGATTGGGGCAAAGATACCACCAGCAGCAATTTCCCCAGGTCATGGAAGCCTCTTTCGAAATAACATTGCGGAGCTAAGACGGTAAAAATCCCCTTCTGGCTGCTTTCGTCTTAAAAGCTGTTTGCTTTAGAAACGCTTGCTCCTTCCACTTGTTAATAAACGAGCGAGGAAAAGAATCCGGCATGTCAACCTCTCCAATTTGGCAAGCAAGCTGCGGTTACGCCACATCTGAGCCATGACCCAGCTAGTTTACTCTTCTGATGGCTCCCAGCTGCATCAGGGCAACAACTGGGACCATTTAAATTCGGCTCCTCACTGTCCTGTGCGGTCTCAGCACCGGGGATTTCTGCAGGTGATGCTCCCTTTCCTCCAGCGCCCTTCCACCGACAGCGCTCTGCTTAGAGCCGTCCCAAAAGCCTGGAAAAGACGGGAGAGGAGCTGGAGTTATGAGGGGAGAGAGGGAAAGGATGCTTTAACGGGCTACGTGGTTGCTTGCCCCCCGAAAACCTCGCTGGATCGCAGCGTTTTCAGTGATAAGGCAGCCAGCGCTGCACCTCGCTCCGCCACGGGCCGCTTCTCCCTGCTTTTGGGCTTTCCCCACTCTGGAGTTTCTGCGCCGCGACAAGAGCTTCCTGCTGCGTCCCGGCCCCTTCCTGGCAACCTGCCCCGTTGTTCGCCTGTGCGTTTGCCTCCCGGCTTAGTCACTCCTCAAATCGGAGATTTATGGAAATGAGCATTGCAAAACTATGTGCGTTTTGTTTTTTGGTTTTTTTAATATACTCATTCTAAGAAGTGTGAGTCATTCGGGCAGGAAAGTTACTGGTTCTCAGCTGTTCCCCGCTGCGACTCAGCCTGCGATTGCTGAACAACAGCCTTGCTTTTTCAGGAGATTTTAGCCAGAAAAAGTTAACAAAGGTCTCAAGAGTTTATTTCCAGCTCTGGCGCGGTGGGCAACAGGTTTACCGCAAGCTGAGGGTTTGCGATGTGAGGATCCGGCTCCTGGCCGGTGAGCTGTAGCGCAGAGCAGGGGTTGTCAGCTGACAGCAGCGAGCTGTAGCACAGAGCAGGGGTTGTCAGCTGACAGCAGCTTTACCCAGGCCTCAAAAACACTTCAGGTTATTCCTCGTCCAAAGGTTTCCGGGCAGCAGATGAGTTATATGATAAACTCGGGAACGCCCATGCTGGGTCTGCGCGTGTGTTTTGGCGCTTGGCCCTAGGGAATAAATCGGAGCGCTGGGCGATGCTGCCTTGTCGCGTGCTTGACCCCCAGTGTCGCCGCCGTCACACCTGCATGAGCCAATGCATTGTGACCTTCCCATTAGCCCCAGTAACAGGGCAGTGATTTTATGTGCTGCCTTGTTTATCGCTCGGGCTCCTGAACAGCTGGTGAGGAAACAAAGCCACCTCGTGCATGCAAATTACGGCCGCTGAGGGATTAGGAGGAGGAGCGGGTCTGAGATGAAACACGGTCGCAGAGGGAGAGAACGCCTCAGCGCCGGCTGCGTCCCTGGCTCGTCGTATAACCTTGGACGTAGATGGAAAGCGATGTGGCTGGAAAACAGTTTCCTAGCGTGGAAAGGAGGAAAAAAAACCCAAAACCATCAAGAGGGGCTGCGTGGAAAGGGGAAACAGAAAGAAAAAGAGAAAAGAATTCACCTGGGTGGCGAGAGCCATCGGACAAGCCACGCTCTCCGCCCCGGGTAATAAACTTGAAGACCTTTGACTAACCTAGATTCAACAGAAGGGAAAAGATCTCAAAGATATAAGTTTGGGGAATACATTTCTAGGGAAAAGACGCTAGAAAGTTGGCCCTGGGGGGAGAGCTGTTCTGCTAACAACTGTTTCTCTGTAGCCAAAGAAGGCCTCGCGGTTCAGGTGGGATGAGGGAGGGGAGGAAGTGATGCGAAAGTATAGATTTCTGCACTGAAAATCATTTTGACCAAAAGCAGCGATTCCCTACAGATACTAGATAAATCACCCTACCGTTTGCCCCTGAAACGGCCGCTGGCTGGTTTTGAGACCTGCTGGCCCTGTGGCAGTGCATGCCGAAGCCACAGAAACACCTGCAGAGAATTTGTGTTACCTGGGGACAGAGAACTGGGCATCTTATCTGGAGGCCAAGCAGTCTGTGCAGCTCCCAAATTACGGCGTTTTCGGATTCCTGCCTAACCTCACTGTGCAAAAAAATAAGAAAGAAAGCAAATGCGCCCGAGGGGGAAGAAAGTAAATTTAAGAGATGTGCTGTAGCCCTCCAGGCCGGCAAGTGGAAAGCGCCAGACGTACCAACAAGGGCACCTTCTCGCGAACAAATCTGCGGCGGCGGCGCCTGTTAAACGTGAGCCACAAATCTAATTTCCTGGGGGACGGAGAAGGGGAAGCTTTCCAGACAAAGAGCTAAAAGAAGGGGGCAGTGGGGGGGGGGGGGTAGGGTTGGACTGTAATGGAATTAAAAAACAAACAAACAACAACAAAAAAACAAAACACAGAGCAAAAACGTT